GAAAAATATTTCTGTTGTAAATTTTTACGTGGATCTTGGTATTAATACTCTTCAACACAAATAATGAAACACGCATTTCAGAGTTTTTCGAGATTCCACCCCTAAGAAGATGAAAGGGGGAAGGGGGTGACAAAGTTTGTATCAGGAAAAATATTTTTATGGGGATTTTGACTTAAAACTTTGTATTAATGCTCTTCGAGACATTTTTTATTTGAAACTTGATAATAATGCACTTTAACACAACGTCTACGCGAGCGAAGCCGCCGGCGAAATGCTAGTAGAGTTCCCTCAGACATTTAAGGCATTTATGGCTTTGACGTTTAAAGTACTTTATAGCCGACCTTTCATAAAACTTAATAAATGTAAACCATGCCACGTGCCAGGGACGGCCGAGACGCGAAGGACCGGACTAAGAGTAGTTTTGTTTTTAACGTTTCTTCCGTACCTTAATTATTTAATCATTATTCTGCACATTTAAAATTATTATTAAGATACTGAAAGCAAAAAACAAAATCTTTAATAAGTAAGTACGATCACAGTCATAGACAACTGGTCCACTAAGTTTTTTGATAAATCAAATAATTTTGACAATGTCACCGTCCTTTTTTTCAAATCCGGAGGGTACATTCATATTGCTGTTTAATTAAAAATCATACATGACTAGAGAGCGAAAAGTATGCAGCAAAATTTTGAGAAATATGATCATGTAATATGCATGAAATTTATGCAAATATGCAGTAACTTTATTAATATATGCAGAGATATGCAGTTGCATATGCTCCAAAAATTGAAAAGAAGTGTAATAACACAACTAAATCTATTTACAAATTATAGAAACAGATTTATCGAGCTTAATTTTTTTAATAAAAAATACATAGATAAATAAAATTTTTAAAAATTATTGTCTTACACTAAATAGTGACAAATAATTTATTTTTAAATACTTTTCGAAATATTGTAGCAAAAAATTTTGCCGGTGATCCGAAAACATATATATATATATATGTTATCACTGCCTCTGGTAATTTAAAACACCACAACAAAACAAAAACAAACTTTATTCTTCCAAAACCCACGCTATCCACCCCAAGCGCTCCCGCTCTCCTCATCCTCCATCTCCCTCTCTCTCTACCAACCTTTCTCCCACAAAAATCCCTAAATGCTTTTTATAAGCTAACATTTGTAAAATAATTTGCTGTAATAAAAAATGATCGAGTACAAAATTACTTTGTTTTTACCTAAAATAAAAAAATCGAAAGGCGCAGTTGTCGGTAAATGCAAAACTCAGTCCTGCCCTGTGCTTTTACCAGAAAAGGTCTTTTCAGGTAGGTATCGGTGAGCGAGTTTAAGACATCCGGCTGTGACGGCCTATTGAATTATATATAATGAGACTCAAATTGGTGTGAAGCCATGAACGCCTTAAATGTTTGAGGGAACTCTACACATACAAAATTTGACAATAATCTGTCTAGGAGTTTCTGTTTCTTTCTAACAAAAATTGTCACGGACAGTAGACGGACAGACAGACTCAAATGGGAGATCCATTTTTTGTACTCTAGGGGTTATGACTTATCGAGAAAATATAAGAGCAACCAGTCGCCCAATTGACTCGATTGCCATACTTCCTCAGCTTACGCTCGGAAAGTAAAGAAAAACAACTCACGTCTACAAAAATAAATGTTAACAGTTTAGAAGTTTTTAAGGCAGAAAGTTGCGGAAAAATTCCGCATGCTCTTCTCTTTCCAAAAAGTGTATCATATCTGGAATATTATTTTTCTTTTTGTTAACGGTGGCTAGATTAAATTGCGAAGCGTAATTTTTTGAATGGTTTTTCATTTTTCTTAAAACTATGGCCCCTAGAAAACACATAGTATCGCCACCGTGGAGCAAACCTGGCGTAAACTTAACAAAAACAAAAAACTTACTGACCCCATTTGACAAACCCCGAAATTTAAAATGGTTGTATGTTGGATTTAAAGTTTGTAGTTTATACACAAAATTTGGATTTTTAATTTGAATACAATTCAAAAATGTGTTGATTAGATAAATATTAATATGATATAAAATTTAATCAATAAAATCTTATTTAATAATTATTACATTACGTTAATCCTTTAATTTTGTTGGAATAGAACAATAGTGCGCAAAATTTCCCGAAAGTATTGAACAGATTGTTTTCGAATTTTGTATGTATAAATATTAGGAATAATATGTAAATGTTAAAATGCTAACCAAAAGTTGGATTGTCATCCTTACCACCAATGGGATGACGTTATCTCTTGAATGTACAATTGTAATTTTTTAAATTTTATAAAAGAAGATACTCCTGTACTTGTGTTCTCATGAATCCGTGTTGAGCTTTCACCCTAGACAACCAGATTTTTGGAAAACTATCAAAACTGCATAACATTTTGCAATCTAATTTTGGAACTGCAAAATCGAATGTTGTGAATCTTGCAAGCATTTTAAGGTTATCGTATTCATCGTAAATCGTTAATCAAAAATTTATTTGTTTATCCCCTCCCAAAAAATTGATGACGCCATCTCAAAATTTTGCAAATCTAAGATGTGCAATCCAAAATACACTTCCCATAAAAATAATAGCACCACCTTCAGTTCTAATGAACCGGACTACACGTAGCTACCATATATATTTTAGGGTTAAATGTATGCAAAACAATGCCAAATGATGGAAATATTTATGTGATTTCGACCGATATGTTTCTTCTATGTATATTGGAAATGTACCAAATTTTGAGGGTGGTGCAATAACTTTTGTGAGGAATATATTATAACTCTATAATTGTGGTTTATCAATGCACTCAATTTTTAGAATGACTTGTTTTTTGTAACTATCGGATACCTTATAATACCTGATAGAACTGTGGTAAAATTCTTAGTTGGGGGTTAAGCTGCAGTATCGCGTTAATCAGGTACCTAAGTGAATGGACACAGTTATTTAATATCTAAAATGCTGAATTAAGAATTCAATAAAATTTAGTGAATAACATAAATGTATCTATATCGATATATCTTCAAATGTACTGTCAGTAAATTCACTGTCTTTACTTTTCCATCCTGTCATATATGTTAATTAACTGAAAAACGAACCGTTGATCACATATTAATACATATACATATCCCGCGTGATCAGAAATGACGCAGTCTGTTGGGAATCCTGAGTTTTTAGTTGCAATTAGTATCATGATGTTTTCTATAATTTCCGGTTGTTTGCTGCCAAGATTGACAAATTGTTGACATTTTTAAATTTGAAAAATGTCAAGGTTCCTTAATAGTGACTAGGTTAGTGCATACAGTGAGTTTGTAGACAGACCTGTTACAGGGGGAAGCGGAGCCACCACTCATTTGTGACGTAGAAAGTACCTCACTAGGGTTTTTGAGATCTTGTTGTGAACTACCCTGACTGTGATTACGTCCTGGCTACAAAGGTTTTGTAAATACAATGTCAGTTTCGGCAAAATCGTTCTTGTAATGTAATGGGAAAAAGTAACTAGATTTCAAATTACCCGCCTAAGAGGTACTTTCTACGTCATCAACATGTCTCTTCAAGGTCATAATATACCCTAACCTAATCACTATAAAGGGACCTTGGAAAAATGTATCCAAGACGTAACCTAACTTTATCACATGTCACGAGTGACATCTCCGTCATCGAATTACTTCCGTTATACCAACATAAACGCAGGAGAAATTCACATTTTTGTTTAAAAAGTATTGCCAACAGACTCAGTAATTGATGATCTGATCTGATTCTGATCGGTACATATTAATAAATGGCAGTTGTCATTGTTATTGATGCATGCAGTTCCGAATGATATACCTACCTAAGTAGTTTCTGAAATCGCTAAATAAAATCTCCATAAATCTTTGAAACAAACTGCTCCTATTACTTATGAGATATGTTCAATACACTAGCAGATTTGTAGCTAACACATTTCACAAAATTTTTCCTTCAAATTTCACAATTTCTGTACTGGGCAAGTTTAGATTTTAAATATAAACATCTGTGTACGAAATACATTGTTTTCAACCTATCGTTTTTATTTTTTAAGTACAGAATTTATTTTTAAGTATTTACATACGAATCTGTTTGAATATGTTTTAAGGTTTTAGAGCGTCCAAAAAACACAAAAAAATAGTTGGATGAGGAGACGAGCAGCAATTTTTGAATGCTAAATAGAATTTCCATTCTTTCGATTTATTGCCCTAAAAACAATGCCATACTTCTCTGAAGATCTGCGGTCCTTAACCTTACCGCAATTCGGTAAAAGGTATCCATGCACCTAACCACCCAATATTTGAGCAAATTCCCATCACAATTCGGATACGACCATGAATTTTACACATTAGTAGACCATTTGTTGTTACCTTAGATCATATAATAAATAGATACCAATACTCAAACTGAAAGCTGTGACTAGACATGAAGCTATCTGTTGTCGTTTTCTACGTCAAGAAGAGTAGTATAATGCTATCCTTGTGTGATCACCACATCTTCATCTTTGTTATATGCATTTCATCTGTATATGTCTATTTCACTTCTATCCTTGTACCGCACCAGCACAACAAATCGCTTTTGACAGATGTTTCTTCTAACCTCTCTTTCGAGTTTTTTAAGTGATGTAATCATAAAGGATCACAATTGCTGCCCAATAATTTACTATTCCTTTCATTATCTACTGTGAATTATTTATAAAATCAAGCTGTCAACATCTTTCGTACGAAGTTAGTTCAGACATACTTCCTAAAATTTAGGCGCGCAAAATTCAAATAGTGATCAGGCAAGGATAGCTTCATTGTAATCCCTCCATGCACGAGAGAGATGTGTGACAGGAGGATGTCGTCACAGGCTCTGCTAGGGAAAGAACACGGCATGGTGGTATCTATTTATTATATGATCTAAGGTTGTTACTGTGGAGTGTTTAGTATGTAAATATTTCTGTACAGTAAATAACATATGAAAATATTTATTTTAAAAGGGGCACTGTGTTCCGTGAGCTGCACAAGCTTTATCAGAAACACGCTTGTAGAGAGTACTTAGAAAACTGGCCACAACTTGAAAAATATTGTGGATACAGAGAAGATAATATACCACAACTAGAAGACGTCAACATATTTTTAAAAAGAAAGACTGGATTTCAGCTTCGACCTGTTGCAGGATATTTAAGTCCAAGAGATTTTCTGTCGGGTCTAGCCTTTCGTGTGTTCCATTGCACCCAATATATACGACATTCATCTGATCCATTTTACACACCAGAACCGTAATTATCCATAGGTATCTACTTTTGATGGTATATTACCTGCTATCGTTTCCAGAGATTGTTGTCACGAACTGCTTGGTCATATGCCTTTACTTGCAAATCCAAGTTTTGCACAGTTTTCACAAGAATTGGGATTAGCATCACTTGGAGCATTCGAAGAGGATGTTAATAAACTAGCGACCGTAAGTATAGATAAAGTACCTTCCCATTTTTTACACGTGCTTTCAATTTGTTTACACAAAATAATGGGTATTCGATTGAAACATCACTCAAAGTAGGTGCTAGAATTTCATTTGACACAAAAATTTTTATTTATTAATTTTATTATTACAACGGTGAAAGACAATAGTCGGAGAGCCCATGCCACATGTTTCATGAAGTGTTTGATGCACTTTGTAATTGTACCTGGTGGTTCCGGTAGTAAAGTAACGTCATTGGAGATACACCTGTTAAAACTTTTATGACTTAAGCGGTCTAAGCCAAACCACGCTTATAAGTCAAACTGGCTATTGTATTACTTAACTCAGTTCACAGCTACATTATGCCAACAATGGACAGTAATAATCTTGCGGTTCGGGTCCACAAAGCTTACAATAGCCAGTTTGAATTATAAGGGTGCTTTGGCTTAAGCCGCTTAAGCCATAAAAGTTTTAACAGGTGTATGTCAAATGAGGTTACAGCACATGCGAGTAAATAATGAACTCTCTGCCTGACCTACCGTGGAACACCAGGTACTGCGCATAGGAGAAAGGTGAGAGTAAAATGTTGACAAACAAAATGTTTTATTCATATTATTCATAAGCCAAGAAGAACATTTCAATAATTGAGTTCGTTTACAATCAAAAAATAAAAAGAAAACAAAAAAGGGCTACAGTTTGAAGGGGGTTAATTCAGAAGCAAGGTTGTATTATTCATAAAAATCCAAAATAAAAGGTGCTTGATTCACGCTGAAAATTTAGTAACGTGTTCATTATACATGTTGAAAAATATGTGCAAAAAGGCCGACAGTTTGGAGGGGGGTAAGTTAGAAGCAAACCACCCCAAAGTTGTATTTTTAAAAATCCAAAAAAAGTGTTCGATCCATTTTTGTAACTTTTTATTTTTATTTTTTTATTTTTATTGAATCTAGTTATAAAACAATTAAACCGTGGTTGTCTTTCGAATTTATCGCAGTTGGAGTTTAAAATAGTGAAAATACGAGTTTAGGGTTAGCTTGAAACATAGCAGTTATGTGGAGGATAGACAAAGGATTAAATAATGCATTCGTGAATAAACTTACGTAAAAGATAAACTAATTTTATGCCGAAACAATTCTAGAAATTTTTTCAAAGAGGATTTTTTGAGGGGAATCGGGATAAGCTTTTTTTGCTCATGGAAGCAAAAGTTTCTTTAACATCTACCCTTAATAATTTTCTCTTTTTTCTGTCAGGTATGATTTGAAAATTTAACGTTTTAAATAACTGCTAAAAGTTTTCAATCATATAAACATCAACATAAAAAATCCCCAACGAAGGATGCATAGGCATCCAACATATCCTCAATTTGAAAGGGTTATTGCAAAGTCAACTGAGTTTATCGAAATGTGAATAGCAAGCAGGCTGTGTACAAGCGTACTAGACACGTGACCAGTAGCCAAAATCATTCGATTAAAATGGAATGTGTTTGTGTTATTTGTAAGGAAAAAGAGGTTGGAAAGTTTATCGCTTTTACGGATGTCACTCTACAAAAATTCCAAAATACAAACACTTTGTTTTTGGATTTTTAGAAATACAACTTTGGTGTGGTTTGCTTCTAAATTACCCCCTTCCAAACTGTGGGCCTTTTCACAAATATTTTTTAATATATAATTATTAACACACTATTAAATTTTTAGCGTGAATCAAACACTTTTTTTGGATTTTTAGAAATACAAATTTGGAGTGGTTTGTTTCCAAGTTAACCCCCTCCAAACTGTCGACCTTTTTACAAATATTTTTTAACACGTATAATGAACACGCTATTAAATTTTCAGCGTGAATCAAACACTTTTTGTTTGTATTTTTAGAAATACAAATTTGGGGTGGTTTGCTTCTAAGTTAACCCCCTCCAAACTGTCGGCCTTTTTGCACATGCTTTTTAATATGTATAATGAACACGACATTTAATTTTCAGCATGATTCAAACACTTTTTTTTGGATTTTTATGAATACAGTTTTCAGTGGCGGCTCGTCAGGGGAGGCAGGGGAGGCAGTGCCTCCCCTGGAAAAATTGACTATTAATTTTTGTTTTAATATCTGTTGACTTCAAATATATTTTAAAGATACAGCAAATAACTTTTATGGAACACTATGATTTATTAAAACGCGTCTTGGTAACATATTTTGAAGTACGCGCTTTCGACAGGAATAAGCGCTGGTCATCGCCGTGTAGGCCAGCTTTAGACGGAGGCATGCCTCAGATAGACGGATGTCTTCAGTATGATTAGTCAGTGGTGCTAATATGTTTTTGAGAAAGACAATAGTCATCAGTGCTTTATCAATAGAGAGCGGATTTCTGTCGGGCTAGACAAGGCCAAACTCGGTACGGCTCGTACGGGTTGGGAATTCATTGCAGTTACCGGCTGCACTTCGTTTATTTGAGATTAGAATAACGCTGCTTCGTTGCACTCTGCTGTTAATTCCAGTTCTCATTTAGTTAGCCGTTTGATTAATAAATCGTTAATTGTATTTATGGAATCAAGTGACAATTAAATTCAGTGATTACCTATGACCCGCTACTGAGTCCCGGCGATGCAGCGCGTCCCCACTAAAATCGTGACGTAGCCCGACAGAAATCCGCTGTCTATTTATCAAAGCACCAGCGGAGGCACCAACGCCTACCGCCCGTAAGCCAATCAGATCGAATTTTTTTATCTCAGGGTGAAACTGCACAATGCTGAATGCATTTAGTGTGCATTTAGTTGTGCATTAATTCGACGCGAGGAAAGGTGTTCACTGCATGTGCATTGCCAAGGTTATGTATTAAAAATTAAAACTTTTAAGTTAACTTGGAAACAGTAGGACAATAAAAATGTCAGTTTTGCAATGCTGATAGCAACATAAGAATCTATAATCTCCAGAATTTCTTATAAAGTTTAAATATTTAAGCACGGTTTCCTTACGACGAGCAATTGTATGTCAAAGATTTAGAACCTCTCATGCAGATTTGAGCAGAACTTTATTAATTAATTGATTAATAAGTATATTTAAATCAGCCCTAGATCATATGAATTAATATCTAATGGTAATAAAACAAATTCTGCAGTCTTTAGACCATCTCGTTGGTTTGTGTGAAGCAGTTAAATGTATTTTATTCGAGAAGTGTACTCATGTAGAGATATGTTACTGACTCAGAGCTAATGTATTGTTTTCATAAAAACGAATAAACAATCTGTCTTTTAACAAAAGTAATTGCCAACATGTTATAATTAATACCTTCTGATTTTGAAACGAAATTGTTGCCTCACCTAACGATAAGACCACGAGCCGCTAGTGACAGCTTTGGAGTGGTTTGCTTCTAGATTAACCCCCTCCAAACTGTTTTTTACTTTTTGATTGTAAACCAACTCAGTTATTGAAATGTCCTTGTTGGCTTATGAATAATATGAATAAAAACAATTTTTTGGCAACATTTGCTTCCCACCTTTACCATATGCGCAGTACCTGGTGTTCCACGGTAGGTCAGGCAGGACCGTTCATTATTTACTCGTATATACTATCTGAACCACCCGGTAAAATTACAAAGTGCATCAAACACTTCATGAAAGATGTGATATGGGCTCTCCGACTATAAGGTAAATTACGACATAGCTAAGTATTTAACAACTGTTCTATCTTGTCACTTTTGAGCACTTTAAGGATTCAAGGACCAACATTACGGATTGATACTGGGGTGACGTGCGGACGTATACATAAAAAACATGTTAACCGTGGCTTGTTCTTCAAAAACTAACATTTATAAAATTGCAGTTATACTTTTTCACCGTGGAATTTGGATTATGCAAGCAAGAAGGTGAAATCCGTGTCTATGGTGCTGGTCTTCTAAGTTCAGTTGCTGAACTGCGACATGCCGTTACTAACTTGGACAAAATTAAACGTTTCGATCCTGAAGAAACTGTTAAACAAGAATGTATTATAACAGCATTTCAGCATGGTTATTGGTATAGTGATTCATTTGAGGAAGCAAAAGAAAAAATGAGGTAAGAAAATTACCAGATTAGTTGTTAACATCATTTGTCTCATAATTTTCTTCACGACACGTAACATCAGCTGCGAGCCACTGGTCTGCAGTGGTATCATAGTGGTATTAGGTGGCAATAGGAAGCGCTTAAATTTCGATCGCCTAGCCCTACATCCTACATCCCTGATCACCTGATACTCTTTTTGAAACATTTATGTACCTGAGAACAAATATCATTTTATTAAGTATATTGTTACGATTCAGGGGTATTAAACTGGGCTGGGATAAAACTCAATAATCTGACGACTAATGGATGCAATGTTGATCCGCGTACATCGTTCGCATGCGCTGACAACTACAGAGAGAAATAAACATATCTAGTACTGTGACTGTTGTTAGACAGGGCCAACACGCACCGGTGACGTTCGGTTAAATAGGAAAACATGTAAAAATGATTTTAAAATCCAACTTTTTGTTTTTTTCTTTAATTTGGTAGTAAATAATAATACATGCAACACAAAATGATTGTAAACATCCAATTATTGATTTTTTTAACAAAATTAATTTTTTCACCAACCGTTTAAAACATGACATTTTTAATGACAATTTCAACACTAAAAATAGACGTTCTTGTAATTTGTAATAAAAACTTGTGTTACTAAGACAACATTCACTTTTAATCCTAGGATTTAAAAGTCTTTAAAATGCTAGGATTAAGAACAAATAATAATCAAGCTGAAACTATATTTTTTCGTCAATTTTGAAAATTAATAATGTTGTCTTTAATATTTTATAATTTTATTAATAACTAGCAGTTACCCGCAGCTCCGCTTGCGTGGATTTCGCAATTAGGACATATTATTTTTCATCCCCTGATTTATTTTTTGATTTCAATTTTATTACTTTTTAAGTTTATGCAGTCTTCATTAATAACAATATATAAAAGTGTTTATCATCGGGCTGATTGATCCATCAACGTACCTACTGGAGCTGGAAACACGAAATTTGGACAGAAGGTTCCTTCGTAATGTAAGCAACCAAGGTGGGTGAAATAAGGACTGAAAGTTTGAAGTTAAGAGTCCCGTGAATTTTTAAATACGTGGGGGGGAGGGGGTGAAACAAAACTATTTTATAACATAGTTCTACAATACAGTGCATGGCCATAGGGATTTCCATGTTAAATTTTATACCCCATGTTAACTTATTGAGTAAATTTTCAGAGCTGAAATTTTTATTGGATGTAATTTGGGCTATCTTTTTGTCGATTTTATTAAAAGTCATGTTTTAAATTAAAGGATATTTCTTTGACAAAGTTAAAATATTTGGATATTGTTGTCGCTAATGGCTGTAGGCAGCCATGTAAAAACAAACATTTACCTGACCTATCTAACTTGGTTGTAAATTTGATATTATTCTGTATTTAATAAACTTTCGTTGTGCCTATAAAAGTATGTCATAGCTAATCTCTCTGAGATAGTCTCTGTTTTGTATAACTTCTTCACGTCTTACAGGCTGGGGTAAACCATAGTACTCTAAACATTGTCTTCCTAAAGACAGCACCGTGGATGGAAATCAGGCACTTGTTGTACACTTCATTTATAATCTGAACACTCTCTCGACACTCTGACTGAACTTGACAAACCCAAAGCTTTGCATGATGACTGGTATGTGAAATACACGACACTATCAATTGTTTTTAAATCCGAGAATTATGTTGGCCCTCTGATTGCATGAAGAAGAGGATCAAGGTAGAAACATTCGGCGTTATTAGGATGAACGGTGTACACTCTACCCAAAGCTTGATCTCTTGACTCCCGGCGCACGATCAACATTGTTTTCACGTGTTCATCTCTCAAATTTGGTACTTTTCCACACATAGTATGAGGGTACTTCAACATAAAGAAGGATTTTTGCAGAATTATCCGGTTTGCAAAGCTCAAAAATGATAGAAGAGTAGTTTTCTGTGAATTATTTACCTTTTCAGTTGCATTATTAAAGTCATTAGGATTAAAATAGACAGCAGGCCATTTTCCAAGTGCATGCGAGATGAAAAACCGCTGGAAATTGTTCATGTATAGGAAAGGCCAGGATTCTCCAGTTGTTAATATATCGACCACTTTCATACAATTTGACTTCATCATTGTCATTTTCAAGACCAAATAATCCTGGTTGGATTTTATATTACCATATACAGGGTGCCGCATCCAGGTCTGGATATAGGGAATTAACATGGGAATTGGTTTTTATTTTATGATATCTCCCCAGATCACTTTAAAGCTATTATTGAGTGATGCATTTGTGGAGGTCGAAGAGGGCTATCGGCCAGTATTTTTTTCAAATCGTTGCATCGCGCTCATTCACTGTAAAAAGGTTTTAAAAATCGTATTTTGAAATTCGCGCCCGATCCGATTTGACGCGAAATGTTCCGTCGCACTGTCGAAGTTCGGCGATCGCGTCTTTGGAATAACCATGCAAAATCTAAATGTCAAAATGAAATTAGAAATTATTCTCAGAAATCAACGAACAATTCAAACTGAATTATTTTATCCAGTGTGATGATTATTGTAGGACAAATTAAACGGAATAAATGCACAAATTGATCCATTCATTCGTCATAGTGCGCGACCCCGTCAAACGAGCCATCTCGAACTACATTCAGACCGTATCCAAAAAGCCCGAGATGAAGACTTCGAGCAGCTGGTCTTCCTCAAAACCCCATCGGCAGGATTGTAACATGTCCTGGGAGCCCTCAAGCTAGAAATGTACTGGCGCTGCCTCACTCAGTAATCACTGAACGACTCAAATTGAATTATTTTATTCAATATGTCGATTATTGTAGGTCAATTTAAACGGAATAAATGCACAAGCTGCACAGAATATTTTATTAGGTTATGTTACTGGTGCTGGTCGAGTCTTTATTACTAAAATCTCATTAAAATGCCATGTTCTACTACGATTAGATCAAAAAGTGAGGGCCCGCTTTTCTTATTGTGTGATGATAAGATTTACCATCAAAACAGCTGGCGCTTTTGAAGAGAACCTTTTAATGAACCATTTAGATAACTACAAATAACAAAACTTAACAATTGTTGATGAATGAAGTAATGAAATATTGTACGAATCTGGAGAAGTATTGCACTATTTTCAAGAATTGTTCAAAAAGACTGGTCTCAGCAGCTGTACAGTAAGTAAGCCGATTTTCAAAACTTCTACACGTGTTGATCAGCATTTGCGTTGCAATCTGAAGACAATATTTGCTGGACTGCTTGTTTCAGCGCGTCTCTGTTTGTATAGCTGGTATTGTTTGAATACAGATGGTCGTGAAGAAATCTCAAAAGAAAAAATTCCCAGGGATTTAGATCCGGCGAATGCACAGACCAATGGGGCGGTGCAAACTTTCCATTCCAACATTGCGGGAAAATACTGGTTCAAATAAACAACATTTATGCGAGCTATATGGCTGGAGATTTGCTCCTGGATGTAACAGACCTGCTGCAGATGCCGCACCCTTCGAGTCCCAGGAAGTATTTGCTGAGCTAGAATATTGTCCTACTTCTGAACATTCAATCTAGATTCGATTAAAAGAGGTGCAATGACATGATGTCCTAGAAGCCCCAGTCATACACTGACAGTTGCACGCCATTGATAACGATAGTCGTGGACCACGTGAGGGTTGTGTTATGCTCAAATTTGATCGTTCTGACGATTATAACTTCCGTTAAGACCACATGAACATTCGTCAGTAAAACAAATGTTCCTCAAAAACTCTCCATCAGCCTGGATTCTCTTAAGCATTCCTTCGTAAAACTCCCTACGTGAGAAGTAGTCCTCAGGCTTCAATTTTTTGTCATGATGCTTTTTGTAACTCTTCTATCCCATCTGTTTAAGATCCCTAGAAAACGTTGTGCCCACCTGGTTTTATTTACTTTTTATCACCTTTGAAAATAAATGTAACTTTGTTTTGTGAAATATTATTTTTATTTTTGTTGTTGTTAACACAATAAACAAATAAAACAGTAATACAAAAGTTTCTGAATCCCAAAACACATTCGTAAGAGAGAAAAATACTTTAAAATGTTGATGAGTCAATGTTCCACATTTCTCACTCAAACATTTCTTGTAACGAACATGCTTCCAGGTGGCAAAAATTCCATCCCTGCTTAACGAATGTAAACCCAATTGACTTCCAATCTTTAGTGATTCGAAAAAAAAGTGTGAAATTTTCCCAAATTACCTACTAATTAAATGAACCGTTGAAGAACAAGCAGGTACTCGCTTTTTCATCTAATCGCAGTAGAACATAGCATAACCTAGTAAAATATTTTGTGCAGTTTGTGCATTTATTCCGTTTAAACTGACCTACAATAATCATCACACTGGATAAAATAATTCAGTTTGAGTTGTTCGTTGATTTCTGAGAATAATTGAGGACCCGGGGTGGGCTAGTTAGCATCATGCTTGCCCGCTACACCTTGGGTCGTGGGTTCGATTCCCGCCATGGCTCTGGGTGTAACGTGTATGTCCCGTTCCCCTGTAATTGGGCCTCAGTGCCTGTTGGGGGACGTAATTAATAAAATAAAAAAAAAAAATAAAAAAATTCACACTGGATAAAATAATTCAGTTTGAGTTGTTCGTTGATTTCTGAGAATAATTTCTAATTTTACTTTGACATTTGAATTTTGCATGGTTATTCCAAGACGCGATCGCCGAACTTCGACGGTGCGACAGAACATTTCGTGACAAATCGGATCGGGCGCGAATTTCAAAATACGATTTTTAAAACCTTTTTACACTGAATGAGCGCGATGCAACGATTTGAAAAAAATACTGGCCGATAGCCCTCTTTGACCTCTACAAAGGCATCACTCAATAATAGCTTTAAAGTGATCTGGGGAGATATCTTCTATATTAATAAAAATGAATCGCCGAAATGTATGTACGCTCATAACTTCAGAACGACTGCACCGAATTGGACGATTCTTTTTTTTACGTGTACCATATTGTCAGGACAAGGTTTAT